AGTAATAAATGGAAGTGACAGAAAAGCCCTGCCCTACTTGTTAAGCTGCAGTGTAATACAGAGGCTTGCACTGCAAAGCTTGACAAACTGTAGAGGTTTAACGCACCTGCCAACAAAGAGAGAGAACGTTAGCTCCAAATGCCACAGCTGTGACACGTGCAAACACGTCCCTCGAGCCCTGGCCGTGCAGGGCAGGCACTGGCAGCCCAATGGCTCGCAGTGGGACAGTCATTGTTGGCTTTGGGACTGGTGGCAGTGCTGGCCCCGGGCCCTACGTACCTCGTCTGACTGCTTGACGTTGTCGTGGCGCTTCTCCAGGTCCGCGTACTTCTTCCAGTACCCATAGCAGTAGGGGTAGTGTGAGAAAAACCTGTCAAAGGCTTTCCTGGCTGCTGGCAAGTGGTTCTGTGGGAAACACAGCGAGCACAATCAGTGCTTCCCTTGTTATTTTACATACAACTATTAACACTGTGTTAGATATTTTGACATGGACAACCTGGGCTACTGGGAGGTGTCCCTGAACATGGCAGGGGAGTGGAACTGGATGAGCTTTTTAAGGTCACTTCCAAGCCAAACCATCCTGGCATTTTATGATTAAACAACAGCAGTGGCACGGACAGCTGCCTTAAATCAGTGTTTGTGACAGCCTGATGTCCATTTGCCACTGGAATCCCATGGCTTTAGTTTTCTTTGTTTATTTATTTCGGGCAGACTGAGGAGAAAGGGGCAGGTACTAACCTCCTGCTCTACGTACTGCAGTAGATAAACCCATCCTGTGAAATCCTGCGGATTGTCCTCTACTACTTTCCAAAATTTGTCAAAATCCGGAGGGAAGTCAGCCTCGATATCTGTGGTCTGTAGGCTCTCAATGTTTGGAATTTCGCTCTCCTGCGTGTTGTCCTCGTTGAGGTCTGGGGAGCTGTCTGGGGACTGCTCCATCTCGGTGACACTCATGATCTCGGTGCTGAAGTCCATGTGCTGCTCCTCGGCCGCGCTCTCGGCGCCGGGCTCCGCGCTCTCATTGCCCACAGTCGGCTGCTCCTCCTCCGTGCTCTCCGCGTTCTCCATGGCACCGCTGTGCGACTGGATCCTGCAGGAACGGCACCTCTCAGTACCCCGGGGCAGCTCAGAGTGGCTCCAGCATCCCTGTACCTCACCACAACCCCAGTGACACCTGCCTCACACATCAGCCTGCTTCAACAATCAAAGGATTAACAGCAGTCTTAGATTTTCACATCTGCACATACAAATCATTGTGGCTTTCTAAAAAACTATTGCAGGGAGCTACTGAGGTATAAAAGCCAATCATTACAGTTTTCCTGTAGGAGTCCAGTGGAAGTTTACTCTCAATGAAGAATTATGTTCAAATTTCATAGAAACATTTAGGCTGGAAAAGCTGTCTGAGACCATCAGGTCCAAGCTACCCCAGCAGTGCCAGGGCCACCATGGACCCGTGTCCCTAAATTCATTCAGTTTTCCTAATCAGTACAAGTCAGTAGATTCTTTGTGAAATAAACAGGTGCTAAAAGGTGCCCTCAACATCAGGCTAAAGCAAAGACAAGAATTCCTGTCAGTACCAACTCAGTCTGCGTTAGTGATGCTCAGACACACCCAGCAGCACCAGAGAGCCACGGAAATGCTCTGGCAGCCCCTGACCTGCAGCCCCTCACTCCCACCCACACCCAGTGCCAGGCGCTTCCTCCCGGCCCTTGGGACAGACTCCTGCTTCCTCCCACTCTTCCTTTGATGTCCCTGCCAAGAGCCACTGCCTGGCCCTGCCCTGCCGTGCCAGCGCCAGGCCAGCCTGACCTGGCCGGGTGCCACCCAGCCTCGGCTGATCCCGGCCTCCCCTCCCAGAGCCAGAGCCAGAGCCGAGCCTGCTCCGTGGCCCTGGTGGCTCAGGGACCTACGGGAACACCGCCCTGCAGGACACAACAGCTCCCGGCTGGGAGTCCAGCTGCCACGGGACGGTGCTGGGCTCACATCCTCACACGCTGGCTCTTCCCGTGTTCTCCTTGCAGCAGGAGGCAAATACATTTGGGATTTCAAAAAGAAAGCACAAGTCCCCACCCCAGAACTCTCCAGAGCTCTTTCACACTGAAAACCTGAAGAGACAACACCCAGACCACTGCTTTCACTTCAACAGGGAGAAGGCACCACTATATACTGGGGTGAAGTTCTTGCCAGAAAAGAAAAATCTCTCTCTTATCTTCAGCAGCTTCAAGTCCTGGGATAACAGTTCACGTTTTCCCAGGAGTTCACCAAGCCAAGGAACTTCGGCATAATGCTCAACAGTCCATGTGGTCTACCCTGCAAGTTTTCTAATAATTAACTGCTTTTTAAAGTATTTCTGCTCTCCATCATTAGGCAGCCACAGCTTGGAGCAGCCTGGGGTACTGATGGGTGTCCCTGCTGGGGACTGGATGGGCTTGGAGGCGTCTGCCAGCCCAAACTATTCCATGACTCCACAATTTTGAGAAAAAAACCTCATTTGTAACATTAAGTTATACATTAAGTATCAAAGAGTATCACTGTGCCTCTGCCAGTGCAACAGGCAGAGATCTGGATCACTCAAAGGCTGCTGCACTTCTGAGGGCGCCTGGTGCAGGTTCTAAAACCCAGCTGTAAGAGCAGGGAGTGGCACCAACCACAGCCCCAACACCAGAAAAAAACAGTTTAAAGGCTATTTACAGCTCTAAAATTTGACCTAACAGTGACAGAGGTAACTAGTGATGGGACGGGAGGAAATGGATTCAAATTGCACCAGGAGAGGTTCATTTGGATACTGGGGAAATTTCTTCATGGCAAGGCTGTCCAGCCCTGGCACATCCTGTCCATCCCTGGGGAGGATTTTTTATTTTTAAATCCCTGGAGGGATTTAAAGCCCTGTGCACGTGGCACGTGGGGACACGGGAGAGTGGCTGGACTTAATGAGCAGCCCTAACGATTCCATGGATTCTGTCATCGTTAGAAATGCAGTAATTCACAACCTAAACTTATCCTGATGTTTAACAGATGTTTTCTCCCTCTAGCTGATTCAGAAGACATATGCCATCTTAAAAAAACAGCTCTCCAAACCCAGCCATCTTCAGATGAGGAGGGAAAAAAGGATGAGGGAGAAGCTGTACGGATGGGCACACAAGGTCCGAGCTTGTGAAAGCTCACAAGGATCAGGATGGGCACACGTGGCTTCAAACTGAAACCAAGTCTCTCTGACAGCTCTTCCAGCCAGACACCTTCCAGTCTGATCCCTGGCATATCCCAAAATCTGACAGCAATCCACGGCTTAAACCAGCCAATGCAACAGGCCGCGAAAGTCCAGGGGTGGGGCACACCAGGGAAACTTAATTCCGGGGTTTCCACCTTAATTCCGGGGCTTTTTACCTTAATTCCAAAGGGTTTGACATCACACAGGCTAAGCAACTGAATCAGAGTATCAGACAGCTACACACACTGCTATTAAATAATTGATGCCAACACGTATTACTGAGCCTGTTAGCAGCAAGAGACGGCTGTACACAGAACTGCCGCTCATAAACGTGAATGAACCACCGGGAATCAACCAGGGAATCTGCAGAGGGGCAGGAATGCGGAGCCTTGTCGGAACGCTCCATTCACGGCCCTGATAAGGCGCTGCTGGATCCACCCGGGGCAGGGCCGGGATTAGGCTTGAATCACGGAATCATTTCCTGGAAAAGCCCTTCAAGGCCACCAGCTGTGCCCGATCCCCACCTCGCCGCCAGCTCTGAGTGCCACCTCCAGGAATTCCTGGGACACCTCCAGGGATGGGCACTCCAACCCTCCCTGGGCAGTGCCAAGGCCTGAGCTCCCTTTCCACGGGGAAATTCCTGCTGTGCCCACCCTGAGCTGCCCTGGCCCAGCCCGAGGCCGTTCCCTCTCCACCAGGGCCTCTCCGCGGCCCAGCCCCAGCAAGAACGTCACAAACCGCGCGGCGCGGCGCGGAGCGGCTCCGCAAGGGCCCGTTACTCGCCCAGCGGCCGTCCAACGCAGGCAACGGGGATAAAAGGATACCAAGGGGACACCGGGATACACCCCCACGGCAGAGTTCACCTCTCGAGCAAACCCGAGGCCTGGCAGCGGCCGCGGGGCCGAGGCGGCGCTCCGAGCGCCCCGCGCGCGGCCCGGCCCGGCCCGGCCTCCGCCCGCCTCGGCCTCCCGCCCCGGCTGTCCTTCGGCCCGGCCGCTGTCGGAGCGCCCCGCTCTCCTCCCTTTGGCTCCGCGCCGCCGCACCCCTCGCCCCTCGCCGGTACCTGCCGGGGCCGCCACAGCCGGGGCCGCCTCAGCCGCCGCCGCCGCCTCGCCCGGGCCTCACGCACCGCGCACGCGCACAGCGCACCGCCCGCGTGCCCGCCGGCCCCCGCGCGTGCGCAACGGCCGCCCCCGGCGCCCGCCCCTTCCCGCCAAATGGCGCCGGTCCCTGAGGGGCGGAGCGGGGAGACAGAGCCCGCTACGGGAGTGAAATAAATACAGCTAAGTGCGGGAATAAATACAGCCCGGTAAAGGGGATATAATAAATACAGCTCCCTATGGAAACACATCCCAGAATCATTTGGAGAGATTCACCCAGATCCCGCTGTCCACCCAGCACTGCCACTGTAGCCCTTAAACCACTGAACCAAGTCACCCACACCACGGGCAGGCCTTCCTTGGGCACCTCCAGGGATGGGCACTCCAACCCTTCCTGGGCAGTGCCCAGGCCTAAGCCCCCTTTCCATGGGGAAAAGCCCCTCCATGTCCCTTTTAAAATGAGGGGCCCAGAGGCAATCCCAGGATTGGAGGTCACTCAGCAGTGCCAGCCCAGGGGACAGCCACTGTCCTGGCCCTGCTGCCAACACTGTTCCTGGTCCAGGTCAGGTGCCTTTGGCCTCTTGCCCACCTTGGCACACTTGGGCTCACGTTCAGCCGCTGTCACCGGGTTCCTTTGAGCAGAGCAGCTCTCGAGCCACTCCTTCCCACCCCTTTGCAGAAATACATCCCTGTACAGAAATAAATCCCTTTATTTATATATCCCATTGTGTCCCATGTCCAGTGTGTCCAGAGCCTGCAGCTGGAGAAGGGTCAGGGTTCATTCTCCCCACTGCCCAGCCCTGAGACAACAAATACTGCACCACTGCCTCTGGGGGTACAAAAATACATGTTTTTCACAAGCAGCACTGCATCACTGTGTCCAGGACTCTCTTCCACTTCTCCATGTAAAGCGCAGTGCTGATGTGACCGTGCGCTCTTCACGGGCAATCCAGGGCCAGGTCCCGGGCTGGAGCCTCTGCAGGGAAGCACAGATGGGCTGGAGCGGCTCCTCCACGGCCATGCTGGTGACAGCGAGGGGAGCCAGCCCCACACTGCCCAGCACAGCTCTCCCAGCACGGCCCAGCACAGCCCGGTTCAGACCCTCAGGCCGGCCCAGCAGAGCCCAGTTCAGCTCCCCAGGCTCTCCCAGCCTGGCTCCGGCGTCTCTCCCGGTGCAGTCCAGCCCAGCCCGGCTCCGGGGCTCTCCCGGCTCCCTCAGGCACCGTGCCCAGCTCGGGGGCCGTTCCCGCCCCGTCCCGGCGGCGCTGGAGCTTCACCTGCGGGGACGGCGATTCCACGGTTTTACGTTCCCGTCTCCAACAGCTCCTCCAGGCTCTTGCTGATGTGCGGCGGCTGGGCCGCGGCGTGGGCGAGCAGGCCGGGGCCCATCTGTGCCCACAGGGCCCGCGCCAAGGCGGCCGTGGCCGTGCGGGGGCCGGGCACCGAGCCGCCGCCGGCAGAGCTGCCCAGCAGGTGCCACAGCACGGGCAGCACCTTCTGCTCCACGGCACACGGCTTGCGCGGGTACAGCTCCGGCACCAGCTCTGCCGGGCGAAAACACTCATTTAAACTACAATTGCCATGGGATTGCCGGCTTTGAGAGGGGAAAAGCTCCGGCACCAGCTCTGCCGGGCGAAAACACTCATTTAAACTACAATTGCCATGGGATTGCCGGCTTTGAGAGGGGAAAAGCTCCGGCACCAGCTCTGCCGGGAGAAAATATTCATTTAAACTACAATTGCAATGGTATCCCCAGCTTTAGAGGGGTACAGCTCCGGCACCAGCTCTGCCGGGAGAAAACACTCATTTAAACTACAATTGCCATGGGATTGTCAGCTTTGAGAGGGGTACAGCTCTGGCATAAGCTCTGCAATAAAATATTCATTTAAATTACAATTTTGATGGGATCCCCAGCTTTGAGAGGGGTACAGCTCCGGCACCAGCTCGGCCAGGAGAAAATATTCATTTAAACTACAATTGCCATGGGATTGTCAGCTTTGAGAGGGGAACAGCTCTGGCATAGGCTCTGCAATAAAATATTAATTTAAATTACAATTTTGATGGGATCCCCAGCTTTGAGAGGGGTACAGCTCCGGCACCAGCTCGGCCAGGAGAAAATATTCATTTAAACTACAATTGCCATGGGATTGTCAGCTTTGAGAGGGGAACAGCTCTGGCATAGGCTCTGCAATAAAATATTAATTTAAATTACAATTTTGATGGGATCCCCAGCTTTGAGAGGGGTACAGCTCCGGCACCAGCTCGGCCAGGAGAAAATATTCATTTAAACTACAATTGCCATGGGATTGTCAGCTTTGAGAGGGGAACAGCTCTGGCATAGGCTCTGCAATAAAATATTAATTTAAATTACAATTTTGATGGGATCCCCAGCTTTGAGAGGGGTACAGCTCCGGCACCAGCTCGGCCAGGAGAAAATATTCATTTAAACTACAATTGCCATGGGATTGTCAGCTTTGAGAGGGGTACAGCTCCGGCACCAGCTCTGTCAGGAGAAAATACTCATTTAAGTTACAATTTTGATGGGCGCCTGGCCTTTGAGAGGGGTACAGCTCTGGCACCCACTCTGCAAGAAAATATTCATTTAAATTACAATCTCAAAGATGGGATCCCCACTTTTGAGAGGGGTACAGCTCCAGCACCAGCTCTGCAATAAAATATTCATTTCAGTTACAATTGCAATGGGATCCTCACATGTGAGAGGGGTACAGCTCCAGCACTAGCTCTGTCAGGAGAAAATACTCATTTCAGTTACAATTTTGATGGGCTCCTGGCCTTTGAGAGGGGTACAGCTCTGGCACCAGCTCTGCAAGAGAATATTCTCTTAAATCACAATTTAGATGTGATCCCCAGCTTTGAGATGGGTTCAGCTCTGCAAGGCAGCAAGGGTCAGGATAAAATATTAATTTAAATTACAATTTCAATGTGATCCCCACCTCTGAGAGGGGTTTAAAGGCACTTAAATCATCTCCTCAAACTGCTGCTGTACAAAAGAATTTGCTGTTGCAACATCATCAACTCCCATAAAAATACCAGATTTTCCCACAACCACTCCTTTTATCCTCTCCTAGGAGTTTACACAGTAGCACCAGTGCTGCTGATAATTACACTTTTCCACTGAGCTAAAAAAAGCAAAAGAAATAAAGGGGATTTTAGCTTGGTTTTTTTTCAGTTAGGATTCCCATAAGGACCTTTATTTCTCACAGTGTAAGGTCTGGTATTTCCAATTTCCCCTCTATCTCACAAAAAAGCAGTAGATATTTAAGAAAAAAACAGCTTTATACTGTAAATATAGAATCACAGAATGATGGAATATCCTGAGCTGGAAGGGACCCACAAGGATCACGAGTCCAACTCCTGGCCCTCCACACATACATATAAAATATGTATAAAAATAAATAGATATGTTTATAGGATGAAATATTTTCCTCAAGAATGAATTCAGTGTTTCATTAGCAAATGTTTCCCTCTCTGCCAGAAGAGCCTGATATATAATAAAAACCACTCCAAAAATCCCAGCAAGAGAGGGACTGTTTAAAGGCTGTTTAACACCCTCAGAAAGCACAAATTTAGGGATATTCCCAGAACAGCCTGTCCATTGTGTTATTATTGAGTTCCATTTCACACAGAACTGCTCTCAAAGTGAGCCAAGGAAATGTTTGGTTCAAGCATACTTCCCATAAAGACATTCCTTGTTCATGGAAATTCAGCTTTTCTCAAGGAATTCCTGGCTGGGAGGTGAGAGGGGCTGGGCTGGAATTGCCAGAGCAGCTGTGGCTGCCCCTGGATCCCTGGCAGTGCCCAAGGCCAGGCTGGACACTGGGACACCCTGGGACAGTGGGAGCTGTCCCTGCCATGGCAGGGTGGCACTGGGTGGGGTTTGAGGTCCCTTGAACCCAAACCAGTCTGGATTCCTGGCAAGAGCATGAGGGAATGAGCACTGGGAGAGGGAATACAATGCCATGTTAAAATTCTTATATGCTTTAGGTATTTATAAATGTTAATCCTTAAGGTATTTAAATATATGATGTATTTACATTTAAATTAAATCCTTAATATATTTATAAATATTTATAAATTCCAGGTATTTATAGATCTTCCATCTGACTATATAACACTAATGCTAACACTAATCCTTTGTTTTGCCAGCAATAGCTCCAATTTCCATTAAAGAGCTGAAATGTGACAACCTCCTGAGACAGAAGGGAAGGTACAGACCCACCTCCACCTTGCAATTAACGTTCCTAATTAAGGGAACCCAACCAACCAACCAAGCAAAGGAAAGCAGCACTTTACCAGCCAGCTTTTCTGTCAGGTCCTGCTTTGCTTTTCCACTCAGGAACTGGGCTTTTGTGCAGAATGGCTGCAGGAGCAGGGAGGTGTCTAAAGGCAAAGAGCAAAACATGTTAAATTCTAAAATGGAAATTAAATTATCCGGAAATAAACACAATATGGGAAAAGGTAAATAAGAAAATGCTATGGAAAAATAACCAAAGCACTACTGAGCAATATCAAGGTGATTTGTGTGGTGAGAATAAACCCAATGATTTTTACACAGTGTAGCAACCATGTGCAACTCCTGGAAAGAGTAACACTTTCAATTTACAACTTAATCACCACAATTAAAACTGTTTCAAATAAAGAGCAAATAAATTGCTCACCTAAGTGTCGACACAGAGCCTGGATCACATTTGTGGCAGCTGCATAAATCCCTGGATTTTTGGAGTTGAGGTTGTTGTCCACTATGGCAGGAATTAACATGTTGATCACAGGTGACAAACTGTCTTTGAGCAGTGGAACCATCTTGTGCATGGCCTCCAAAGCCACCTGGGTCACTTTGCTGTTGGAGTCGTGTAAGCGAGGCTTGAAAGCATCAAAGATCTGGAAAAGCACCCAAGCAGCACTCATGGAACTGGGAATCAATAAAGCTCATCACCTGCTTCATTGCTACCCTTCAATTGTCCACCTCGACACACGACGGCTCTGCTGTCTCCAGGGCTTGGAAACAGATGTTCTGTGAGGTCCTTCCAGACCCAAACCGCTCTGGGGTTCTGGGATTTTGGGATCATGTTTTGATTTGCTGTTTTAACCCCGTGCATTAATCTGGTCTGAAGCCCTGCAGTGCAATGACTCCAGGCACAGTGACTCTCAGTGTGGCTGTGGCTCAGATTTCCTGCCTACTTTTAGGGAGACACGGCTCTGTTCAGCACAGGGAATGTCTGAAACGTTTCAAACCCATCCACAGATTGGACACCAGGAGGTCCCACAGCACAATTCCATCATTCCACACTAAGATATGGCACTGCTGGAGGACAAGCTTGGCTTCCTTTCATTGTATCTGTCTTTAATTTACAGCTTACTAATTTACAGCAGTTTCTTTCTCCTGTAGGATCTCCTTTCCTGTTGGAGCTCAGGATGCTCATCCTGAGCTTTAGCACAGTAAATTTGGCATAGTACTTTTCTCACCTTCTCTCACACAAAACTTGTAACTCTACTTCAGAGACAGTTTTACAGCTCTTCATTAATCCTTTCTGCCCTTTTCACGACCATTCCATATTTTGATATTTACCCAAGAGTGGCATGAAAAACAGCACAAGGATTCCAGAAATCATGGTATCACAGACTGGTTTCCATGGGAAGAGATGTTAAAGCCCATCCCATCCCACCCCCTGCCATCATCAGGGACACTTTCCATTATCCCAGGGTGCTCCAAGCCTCATCCAACCTGGCCTTGGACACTTCCAGGGACGAGACAGACACAGCTTCTCAGGGCAGTAGTTCAAAAGTGGCCTGAGTGAAAAATTCCACGTTTTATCTCCTGTTCCCTTCCTTTCCTCCCTTGGTGCCTCACGCAGATGCCCCTGCTCCTCAATGCTCTCTGTCCATCATCCTTATTCCAAGAAGGACCTAAGACTTTTCTCAGAAAACCTGGTGACTCTGATCCCTTGTGCAGGCTGCCCCAGAGCAGAGGCTGGATGGAGTTCCAGAATAAAGCAGGGATTGATTCCAAGGATCTCCTCCATGGATCCACCTTGGGCAGCACAAGAGCCCAGCCAGGGCTGCCCCCAAGATGAACCCAAATGGTCCCAAAATGCACGAGCGCTCCCGGGGTCTCTCCCTGGGATCAGCTCTGCTCCATGTGCACATTGCAGTTCAGTGTCCAATTCCAGCTTTAGCCCATCAAGTTCTATCCTGCTTGTTTTTCTCTCTCCAGCCCACTATTGTAAGTGCTTGGGCACCCTGACGAAGGCAGGAATGATGGATCTGACTCCATGTTCTCAGAAGGCTGATTTATTACTTTATAATACTAGATTAAAGAATACTATACTACACTACACTAAAGAATACAGAAAAGATACTTAATGCTAAAAGATAATAATGAAAACTCGCAACTCTCTCTAGAGTCCCAACACAGCTGGGCTCTGTTTGGGTAATTAGTTAAAACAACTCACACTGGAGTCCAATGAAGCAATCACTTTTGGGTAAACAATCTCTAAGCACATTCTAGACGAGCACAACACAGGAGAAGCAAATGAGATAAGAATTGTTTTCTTTTTCTTTGAGGCCTCTCTCGCTGCCTTTCAGCTTCCCATGAGAAAAACCCTGGGTGAAAGAATTCTTTCAAAGAATGTGAATGCCACAGCCCACGGGGTTTGTGCTCCTGGGCTGAGATTTGGATCATTTGTCCTTGGTGCCCAGCTGGAGCAGGAATTGTTTTGTCTCCCTGCTCTGTGCACAGAGCTCACCATGCCCTGATGTGAAGCCCAGCCCCACACACTGAAGCAGCACAGGATGTGAAAATAGAAAAGCCACACCTGAGGCACCAAGGCAGCCCTAAGCCCCCAGAAGCCCGGGCTCTGGCAGCCTTACCCTGACGATGTTGGCGAGCACCGGCGCCGGGCTGCTCTCCGTGTCCAGCAGCAGCCGCCGCACGCCGCGGATGCGCTCCCGGAAATCCTTGGCGTTCAGCAGCCCCACCACGTCCCTGACGTACTCCTCGCTCTCCAGGGCACTGCGAGGAGCTGCTCTCCGAGGGGCCTCGTGGCTCTCCGTGCTGTCCCTGTGGGAAAGGGAAATGTTGTTCTGTGACTTGGAACAGGAGGCTCATCACACACGTTCTCTTCCCATCTAAGTGCAAGTGTCACAAGTAAGCACAAAGTTTCACCTTAAATATGGTGAATCACCTAATAGTAATTGTTCCCAAAGTCTTATATCCACTCTGCTCCAAATGCAGCTGGTTTTATGACCAGGATCAATTGGGAACTCACATCAATGGGTCATAACCCCCCAAACTTACTGTAGTTTAAATCTTTATTCCCAGAGTACTTGAAAGGCTGAGCCCAGACCAGTTGTTACCTCAGCAACACTGCATGCTGAGGTGAAAAACCAACAGCTCTTCCTGGAATATTTAGGAACAAATTTCCTGTAGCAACTGATCTCATTAGAGAGTCATGGAAAGAATTCTAAAACCTGTGCAATCACCTCTGTGTCCAGGTATTTACAGACCATTCAGGCAGTCATTACCTTACTCCTAATTCCTGAACACAACACTTGGATGGGGATGGAACAAGCAATCAAAATTTATTATATGTAGAACCAGTTATTATTTTGAACTGTGGAGGGTGTGTTAAAGAAATCTGATCCTGAAGAGACACTGCAGTCACAGCCCTCTGAACTCTGTGTTCTTGGATGCAGTTTTTGGCTCGCTTTAAAATTGGGGGTGCTTCCTTTTCAGTTCATTGAATCACAAACCATGGAATGGTTTGGGTTGGAAGGGAACTTAAATCCCCCCCAGTGCCAGCCCTGCCATGGCAGGGACACCTCCCACTGTCCCAGGCTGCTCCAGCCCCAGTGTCCAGCCTGGCCTTGGGCACTGCCAGGGATCCAGGGGCAGCCACAGCTGCTCTGGGAATTCTGTGCCAGGGCCTGCCCACCCTCCCAGAAAGGACTCAGTGATGTGTCCTGGGGTGATCCTTAGTGTTTTTGTATTCCAGACCTAGCTCAGCCAGGGACCCTGTGTGTGTGTGGTGCTGTCCTGGGGGTTTGTAAAATCCCCCCACCCAGGCACTTTGTGGGATTTCTCTGTGTGGTGCTGGCTTCACAGTTGCTTGGTCTTTGCTCAGGCTGGTTGGTTTTTTTTCCTTCCTTTTCTGGATTCTCTTTTCATTTCTGGTTTTTCCCTCAGCTTGGAGGGACTGCAGTGAGCAGGTTTGAGCTGCCTCACGGATGAATTCTGTGGGTGTCTGTCCACAGCTGAGGAATCCCAGCAGGAGTGGAGCAGCCCCACTCCAGCCCTGTGGGCAGCACCAGCCAGGGACAGACAACCCCGAGAGGCCCCTTGCCTGCCTGCCCTGCTGTGGGGAGCAGGCTGACCCTGGATGAGCTGCCAGGCCTTTGTCTGCTGCTGGAACTGCTCCACGAGGCTTCCCAAGAGGGATCTGACACCAGCTTGTCCCTCTGTGCTAAAGCCTGAGGCCACCCCTGATAGCAATGGGTATTTCCAGCATTTTGGGGCTCTTATTTTTCCTGGGGAGTTCATGAGATTTAGCACTTTGCTATCCAGCAGTTATTTACATTTTTTCCCCCTGCCTGCTGGAATTCTGTTAATAAACTGTTATTTTTTCACTTCTACCTATTCATATCTCATTCCTTATTAGCAGAAAGGGATTGACTGGAATCAAGGGGAGGTCATTGCTCATTTCAGAGTGCCCACCTCATTAAATTGTCCCAAAGCAAGACGAGGTGACAGTGCTGAGGAGGCCCCAGCACAGAAGCAGCCAGCAGAGGGGGAGAGGTGACACACTCTCCTCACTGCTGGAACCAGCAGGACATGGAAGCAGCTGTGTGGAGCCCTCCACGGGGAGTCATGGAGGCTGCTGAAGGTGGATCCAGTCAGGCTGCAGGGCTGAAAGCCTCCAGCTGGCTCTGGGCATCCCTGAGCAAGGGAAGTGGCCAACACTCTCCCTCTGCACTGGATGGTGGATGGTGCTCTGTGGGAGTGGCTGGAAAGGTGGGAAAAGGGCAATTGGCAGCACAGAGGGAAACTGATTTTGGCTGCTGGAGAATGGCAGAACATCCCTGGCCAGCTGCAGGGGCTGACAGTAAAAGGCCATCCTGTGCCTGAGAGCTGGGCTGGCGAGGAGCATCACAACAACAAACGGCTGGAGCAGGCTGCAGGAGTGAGGGGTCATGGGCAGATCTGCCCTGCTCACAAGGCAGAGCTATCTCCAGCGTGGTGGGGCCTCAGGTCAGCAGGGAAGAGGTGCCACCTCTGTGTGGGCACGAGAGCAAGGGGTGGCCTTTACCATGGCCACTGCATCCTGGGTAATCCCTGACTGGATCCATGAAACATGAGCTGCCATCAAGGCCAAGGGGGACCAACCCTGGGATCTGGGGTCTAAATATAACCATGGGGAGGCCCTGTGGTGCACACAGGTGCAGGATGGTAGGAAAGATTAATCCTGCCTGGAGCAAAGACAATCCACGGTGTGGATTAATCCTGCCTGGAGCAAAGACAAACCCATCTGTGGGGCTGTCTCTGCTCAGGGACCTGGCTGCACCTGGTGGGTGATGCAGAAATGTCTTGTGCACATCAGGGACATTGATTTGGGGTGAGAAGAGCCTGTAATGTTGGAATGCCTGGGCACCCCTGGCTGCAGAACTACCTGGGATATCCTGGATGGGCAGTGACCCAGTGACCCCTGACATCATTGTACTTGTGTGTATATATATATATAAAATGTATAGATATGTGTGTTTAAAGTTCAAATGTACTCATTTGGGCATCAACCAGATGACATGGAAGAAGGGGTGGAGTGTCCTGGGGTAATCCATAATGTCATTGTGTTCATATCTGTCTGAGCCCAAAAATTGCTGCTGTATATGCAAGACCTAAAAAAGGTCAATATAAAACCTGTAAGAAGATAAAACAAAACTAAACATGGTCAGAGTATGATCTAAACCCTCCAGCATCCCCAGTCAGGGTCTAACTAAGTCCTTGGTGTCCACAGTTGTGTACAAATGAGTAATTTGTGCTGTGGCTCCAACCAGGAATGGTTTTTCCATGAATCTGAACAGCAACATCTGGGATGATGCTGCCATGGATCCATTGGATCTACACTGCCCAGAGCAGCTGTGGCTGCCCTGGGATCCCTGAAGTGTCCCAGGCCTGGCTGGACAGGGCTTGGAGGAGCCTGGGACACTGGGAGGTGTCCCTGCCATGGCAGGGGTGGTGCTGGGTGGGCTTTGAGGCCCTTCCAACCCAAACCATTCCATGATTCTGTGATTCCACACAGTGAATTCCAGGTGGTTTGTGTACTGTGTGTATTTCATAGATGGTCCATAGACAAATTAACTTCAAAGTGCACAAAGCCATTTTAATATAACTGGTGACTCTATTTAAGAGTTTCCCTGGAATAGGTCAAGACTTTCCTTTTCCTAGAGGGATGCTTAACTTTCCCAGCCCTGTATGACTCTTACTGTGCTCCCTCCTTGGGCAGGTTCCTCACAGGATAAGCACTGGAGCTCATTACCTGTCTGGGATGATGGCAGCATCTCTGCAAGTAGAGGATGACCTCAAATGTCCAACATTTCCAGTCTGGGAACGCCTTCCTTTGGCTGAGGGTGTATCCAAGGGCATCTCCCCCAGGCCCTGCACAAAGGCACAGCAGGAATTCATGGACCAAGGGTACCACAGGGAATTATTGTGGGTGCAGTGCTGCAATTGTCTACACCCAGGAGCCCCCAGGACACCTCCACCTGCCCCAGGTGCTACACAAGAGCTTTCCCACACACCTTCTCTCGTAGGCTGCCAACGGTTTCCTTAATGTAAGGCAAATCCTTGGGTGGCACAAACTTCTCCAGGGTTTTATCCAAGTCAGGATGAGCCATCATGCTGAAGAGCATCCTCCTCCCATAGTACCTGCAGGGAGAGCACCAGGACATCCAGGAACAGGGACTGGCTTTGTCACTGGGTCATTCCAGCCGTGTGATTCCAAAATGGAAAGGTGCAGGGAGACTGTGTCCAGGGAAGGGAACGGAGCTGGGAAGGGGCTGGAGAATTCCTGAGGGAGCTGCGAAGGGCTGGAGAATTCCTGGGAAGGGGCTGGAGAGTTCCTGAGGGAGCTGCGAAGGGCTGGAGAATTCCTGAGGAGCTGGGAAGGGGCTGAGCCTGGAGCACAGGAGGCTCAGGGGGCCCTTGTGGCTCTGCACAGCTCCTGCCAGGAGGGGACAGCCGGGGGGTCGGGCTGTGCTCCAGGGAACAGGGACAGGAGCAGAGGGAATGGCCTCAGGCTGGGCCAGGGCAGCTCAGGGTGGGCACAGCAGGAATTTCCCCATGGAAAGGGGGGTCAGGGGCTGCCCAGGGAGCTTTGGAGTGCCCAGTCACTGTTATTGGAGGTATTTTCCAACCTCAGTGGTTCTGTGACTCTAACATTGCTGCTGACATGAGTAACCAGACCCCTCTCCATCCTCCCCCAGAGGATGTGCTCAAGCATCACTTTAATTAACTGACCAAATTAATGAGAACAGCCTTCCAGTTCTGCTGGCTTTACCCAGGGTGGTCCAGCCTTGTCAGGCATGGATCAGCTCCAGGTGTGGATTCCAGAGACAGCATTCCCTGTGTGGCTGCCTCACAGCACATCCTGGGAGCCCCTCTCCTCCCTGCAGCCAGGGTGTGTGGGAGGTATCCAGGTGATTCCTGCCACAGGCACTACCCTGACAGTCCTGCCAGCGCTGGGGGAACAGCTGCACTCAAAGGATTCTTTGGAAGGGACCTAAAATCCCAACCCCTTCCACCTCTGCCACTGGCAGGGACGCCTTCCACTAGCCTGGGGTGCTCCAGGCCCTTCCAACCCTTACTGCTCCCAAAAAGCCTTTTCCCTCCTAACCCATCCTGCCCCGAGGGCACAGCCCCAGGACACTGTCCCTGTCCCCAGGGAATGCTCACCCACAGCCCCAGGACACTGTCCCTGTCCCCAGCAGTGCTCACCCACAGCCCCAGGACCCTGTCCCTGTCCCCAGCAGTGCTCACCCACAGCCCCAGGATGGCTGTCCCTGTCCCCAGCAGTGCTCACCCACAGCCCCAGGGCAGCTGTCCCTGTCCCCAGCAGTGCTCACCCACAGCCCCAGGACACTGTCCCTGTCCCCAGGGAATGCTCACCCACAGCCCCAGGGCAGCTGTCCCTGTCCCCAGCAGTGCTCACCCATAGCCCCAGGGCACTGTCCCTGTCCCCAGCAGTGCTCACCGTGTTTGCTGGGAGCTGTCCTGTGCAAACCTGGCGATGGCAGGCAGCAGCCTCTCGGCCACGGGCCGGCCGCCGGCCAGGACGCGCTCGGGGCCCAGGCGCTCCACGATGTCCCCCAGGTGCTGGGCCGTGCATCTCCTCACGGCCGAGTGCAGGTGGCTGCGGAGGGAAAGAGGCCTGAGGGACGGCTTTAGGGCTGCTGGCAGCCCCACCCGCCCTGCCAGCCTCCAGAAGGACCTCCGGGGCCATCCCAGCCTCCAGAAGGACCTCCGGGGCCATCCCAGCCTCCAGAAGGACCTCCGGGGCCATCCCAGCCTCCAGAAGGACCTCCGGGGCCATCCCAGCCTCCAGAAGGACCTCCGGGGCCATCCCAGCCTCCAGAAGGACCTCCGGGGCCATCCCAGCCTCCAGAAGGACCTCCGGGGCCATCCCAGCCTCCAGGGCCATCCCAGCCTCCAGAAGGACCTCCAGGGCCATCCCAGCCTCCAGGGCCATCCCGTTCTGCCCCCACCATGGGCAGGGACACCTTCCACTACAGTTCTTGTTGGATACAAACGGGGGGGGGGTTAGAATTTCAGTTCTGTTTTTCCTTCAGATAATTTTATTTTGCAAAGCATATGACTGTTATTTCAATGAGCTCTAAGAAAAACCTGTGCTCAGAGACAGACCCCGGGCACTTGACTAAATCTGACTAAAGCAAATTGACTTGATATCACTTTAAAATTGACTAAACCAGTGCTCAATCGACTCCTGAAGATCCTGCAGGAGTCTCCTGTTCCCTGCTTTGCATAAAATAAACGCCTGTGCTGATGCAAAGGAGAGAACAGCCAGAATCAGCTTTCAAACTCGTGCAGCAAGTGACCCTTTTATCTGAATTGTGCTGCCCCTGCTGATCCCACTTGTGTTCAGGAACAAAATCCTGCAAACTCTAACGTCTCCAATTTTATATTTGGATTAAAGATGCTACTTTGAGGACAATTTGTAACTCCTGCTGCACTTTCAAGGGGAAAACAAGAATTGAGAGGCTGAGAGATCTCCATGAAGCAAACAAGCCCCTGCTCATGGAAACAGCTGGAAAACATTTGTGTGCACACAACACCTTAGAGGTAAACACACAGCATACAGGTAAGAATCAGGATTTTAAAGTTCCTGCAGTAAAACCACTCTCAGCTCTATCCCTGGAATCATGCTCCTGGATCATGACTCTGCTCACAGCATCCCAGACTGGCTTGGGAAGGGACCTGAAAAAGCTCATTTTGTTCCAGCCCCTGCCATGGCAGGGACACCTCCCACTGGAATGATTCTTGTTGGTAAAGTCAAACCCAGCTTTGGAGCTGATGAAGAATCAGTATTTCTGTCTGGTCAGGGCTGCCAGCCTTAGAGTCATGATCACAGAGGGCTGGAAAGGAGCTGAGCAGAAACCAGGTACTTTTCTTTAAGAGGTCCCATGAATTGTAAGTGACACCATAATTGAAGGATTATGTTGTGGTGAGTTTAAGCAACTCTGCCCAACTTAGAGAGAACATCCCTTGTGGAATTACAGTTGTGTCAAACAATCCTTTTCACTTCCTACTGAGACACAGATTTCCCCATATTCCTGGTCACAGCCTCTGGAGCTGCCCTGTGCTCCAGGAGCTTTCCTGCTGACATGGCCAGAGCTCCCTGAAGCCAGGCCTAGAAAAGCTGCACCTTTAGGCCATGCCCTGATGTGTTATCCATTAACAACATCCTGTACTCCGTGAGTTAGGAAAGTCTGAGCTGTGAACAGATTCATCTGTGCCCAAAGGCAGTACTCAGCTCAGTTCTGATGCCTCAGATAGCACACAACCTGTACAAACTCACCCAGTGGAGGGGACAAATGCCTACAGGAAACCCCTGAGCAGGTGAGTTTGGATCTGCCTGGGAAGGTGGGGGGCTCTGGCAGAGACAGCTCTGCCCAGGAGGGCCACGGGTCTCTGAGGCCAGCAAGGGAGAACCCAAACAGGGCAATTCCCCTGGCTGCTGACTGAAAGCCATGGGCAGTTACTGCCTGCTGCTCCTGAACTCACAGGATTATGGAATCAGCCTGGTTTGGGATGGTAGGGGCCATAAATCCATGGCACCTTCCACTACCCCAGGTTGCTCCAAGCCCCATCCAGCCTGGCCTGGGGCACTTCCAGGGGTGGGGCATCCATCCCAAGCCAGTCTGAATCCCAGTAATTCATCAAGAATGGGAATCCCAAGGCTGACTTTTGCCTTTCAGTTTAAAGAGCAGGAAACTGCAGTAGAGCTGTCAGGAGACAGAATCCATGGATCCCCCAACAACCAGCTGCCCAGGAAACAAAAGAGAACATTTGCAGCTCTGAGGATTGGAGCTGTGCAGGAAATCTGTGGAGAGACTTTGAATGGAGCACCTGAAATGTGCCATGAAGGGAAAGGGAGCCTGGGAAACGTCACCAAGGTGGGGCAGAGAAGAGAGGAAGCACCAGAGGGTGCACCCAGCTCAGAGGTGGTGAGCAATGAATGAGGATGGGAAAGGAAAACAGACTGAACAGGGCCAGGGAAAGAAGGGAATTAACTCCAGAAAAGAATGGCCACCAGCACTGAGAAGGAAATTAAAATGCAAACACAAAGGCTCAGCCTAGAGAGGAGGAATCAAGCTAGAGAGATGCAGCTAGAGAACTGGAAGTTATAAATCAGTTTTCTAAATAAAGAGAGGTGCTGAAAACTGGCCAAGGCAGGAACTGACTGCAGAGCAAAGGAGGCAAAGAAAGAACATCATGTCAGCTTTACCAGGCAAAGCAAAACAGCAGCTCCCCAAGAACATACAGTAACAGCAACTAAAAGCACTGAAGTGGTGCAAAACAGCCAGAAAAGACACCAAGCTCCAAAATCAACATAATGCACAGAAAGGAACAGAGGGGCTTTAATTCAATTTATGCCAACAAACATTGCCCTGGGTAGAGGTTTAGCACAGCTGATTTACTGGTTTTCATATTTCTGTCTACTGTACTCTGATTTGATGTTAAAAAGCCTACAATTGATAAATTTTATCTATTCACAATATTCTTTATAAAGTCTTTATAGGAAATTACCTTTGCCCTCCATTTATAAGAGAACAAAGTGCACGTGCTGGAGTCACATTATTAACCATGGCCTTCAGTGCCTTGTCTACCTCTTCCCTTATAAAAGTGTTGGATTCCCCAGCTTTGTGCAAAAGGACTTTTACTGCATTATCTAGTTCTTGATCCATGCTCTTTTTCAGGTGGGTGAACAAATCCCCTAAACAGACCACAGCAGCTCGAGAAACACCTGAGCGTAAATTCTTGACCTGCACACAGGAAAAACCCAAAAAACAATGAATAATGTTGATCAGAGAGACTTTCAAATAAATATTCATGTTTGCCCTTTGTCATTTTTTAAGTAACATTACAAGCAACTGAGAAACACATTTCTAACTTGATTCACAATGGGTGAGAATTAAAATACACACTCAAAAATGTAAAAATGTTATAAAGTTAAAATCTACATTTTCTCAGCCTCTGAGTCTCAAATCATCCTTGAGACAGTCCAGTTGAGGAAAACTCGCCAGAGGTGAGCATAAATCACTTCAGAGAGCTGTAAAATACATATATACACACAGAGAGCCAGTGGAATATTCTGATAGGAAAATTTAACCTCTTGAGCCACAGCCAGAGTTGTTTCGTGGAGCTTTGCAGTCAGAATAGGGGCATGGTAGGCAGACAAGCACCTGACAAAGTTCAGACCTTCAATTTTCTTCTCCCTGTGTGAAAAAATAATATTTAATTTCCATCCATTTGAAAAGTCTCATTAAAATATTCAAGTGTGGAATTCTAAGGAATCAAATAGCAAACAAATTAGATGGTAAAATAAAGCAATGAGAAATAATCCCAGAATGGTTTGGGTTCAAAAGGACATTAAATCCCACCCAGTGCCAGCCCTGTCATGGCAGGGACACCTCCCACTGTCCCAGGCTGCTCCAAACCCAGTGTCCAGCCTGGCCTTGGGCACTTCCAGGGATCCAGGGGCAGCCACAGCTGCTCTGGGCACCCTGTGCCAGGGCCTGCCCACCCTGCCAGGGAAGAAATAAAGCAGGAAACTCTTTCCAAGGAAATCTGTCTTTTCCTGTGGGCCTGTTCCAGCACAGCAGCCTCTCAGCAGAGTGCCACAGTTCTGGTCCCAGCTGGCACCAGTGACAATTAAAGTTTCCTTCCCCAAACTGAAGGCAGCAGCTCTGTAAGCACATCCCAAGTCAGGAAGCACCCAAGAGATGCTTTTATTCCACACAAAGCACCAAGGATGAGCTGCTAATTCCACACAGAAAACCTAAAGGGGCTTCTAATTCCACAGAGAGCCCCAAGGCTGGGCTGCTAATTCCACAGCCAGCCCCAAGGCTGGGCTGCTGATTCCACACAGAGCACCAGGAAGGTGCTGGTGCTGCCTCTCCAGCCCTTCAAGTCAGACTCTCCAAGCCTCTGAATGCCCAGTTCCCAACCCTAACTTATAAAGCTCCTTTCATCTCAAGCTTGACTGAACCCCCTGTCGGATTTAGTCCTTTTCTGACCCAGAGATGGGCAACTGGGAGGTGTTTTAAAAATTTCTATTTTGAAGAGCTTTCATATTTATACAGTATTTGTTCACATGCAAATACACTGCTCACATACAAACACATACTATGCAAACCTTCTGTCAAACGTTACAAATTCTCTCCAAAGCCATTCCCCACCCCCACCCCCCAGTTTCCCAGTTTCCCTGCTCTCAGGGAGCCCTCGCTGTCTGTGGCCCGGGCAGGGTTTCACAGCTGTCCCCGTGCACCCACCAGTCGTGGTCAGCCAGCAGTGCCAGCGCCTCTGCCAGGGCGGGCTCGGGCCGGGGGAAGGGCAGCAGCTCGGCCGGGTCCAGCACCTCGGGGCTCTGCGTCACCGGCGCCTCTGGGGACAGGGACAGGCCGTCAGGGACAGGGACACAGCTCTGACAGGGACACAGCTCTGACAGGGACACAGCTCTGACAGGGACACAGCATCAGTGACAGGGACACAGCTCTGACAGGGACACAGCTCCGACAGGGACACCAGGGACACAGCTCTGACAGGGACACAGCTCCGACAGGGACACGCCGTCAGGGACAGGGACACAGCTCTGACAGTCCGACAGGGACACCAGGGACACAGCTCTGACAGGGACACAGCTCCGACAGGGACACGCCGTCAGGGACAGGGACACAGCTCTGACAGGGACACAGCTCTGACAGGGACACAGCTCTGACAGGGACACAGCATCAGTGACAGGGACACAGCATCAGTGACTCTGACATGTGACACACCATCAACGGCACAGGACACACCACCAGTGATAGGGGACACAGAACACACCACCAGTGACAGGGCACACGCCACCAGTGACAGGGCACACACCACCAGTGACAGGGGACACACCACCAGTGACAGGGGACACGCCACCCGGGCTCTGCCAGCTGCAGGCAGGCACAGAACGCACGGAGGCACGGAGCGCTGCTGCAGGACACGGGGCTGGCAAAGCACACACGGTGCCAGGGTGCTTTGGGCTGGAAGGGGCTGAAATGCCACCCACGGGCAGGGACCCTCCCACCGATGCCCCCAGTTTCAGCTCTCACCTTTTCCATGTTCTGCCCTGCCCTGCTGTGTGACTCTGAGCCCCACACAGTGCCAGCAGCTCTCCTCACAGCTCAGGCACACACAACAATCCTTTTCCAGCCCCAGAACCAAGGACAGCGCTGCAGCTCCAGCCCCAAAAGTGCAAACAGCAGGGGAGGGAGGAGAGCAGCCTGGGAGGGTGGGACTGCATCCCCTGGAGCTGGAATTGGACACTGAACCCAGCATGGAAATGACCAAAGCTTATCAAAGTGTGAGAGCTCCTGAGCCAGGGCCCATCTGGGGTGCAGCCACGGCCGGGCCTGCACTGCCCAAGGTGTGTCCTGTGAGGGCTTTTAATAAATCCCTGCTTTGTTCTTTAACTCTGCCCAGCCCCTGCTCCAGGGAGCCCTCAGGCACCAGCACCATGCCAAGCCAAGCTCTGGCCTTGAACACTTCCAGGGATCCAGGGGCAGCCTCAATCAGTCAGAGTTTCATTCATGTAAATTCAATTTTGCACACAACCTTCACTTCTACAGTCACAAACACAAAGGCAGTGGTTGTTTAATGTACAAACAGATGCACAGTGTGCTAGTAACATCATAAACCTTGAGGAGACACTAGACAAATTCTGGCCACCTTTGAGCACCATCAGGTGGAGCTTCTACTCCTAACATTTCCCTACTGGCTATTTTAAAGGCAGTTCAGTGCCAAAATGTACCCAGAAAAGGGGTTTTGGGGACAAGAGGGAGTCAGTTTGCTGTTAATGCACTGTATCATTTCAGATCCTGATCAAACTAAAAGCCTCTGATGTTTCATGAAACTCCCTAACAGATTCTAGAAGAAAAGTGATCAACTGAATTCCCAGTGAGGAATTAAATCCCCTCCAGCCCCACAGTGCTGATCTTCCAGAGCACCTGAGGACTGTCCACTGCACACATAAACTGTATTTTGAAACTGCCCCACTCTACCTACCCCAATATTTTAAGAGTTTACTGTCCCAGCTTACCAGAATCTAGCAAGGATGAACACTTTGACCTCTTCAAACTGGATGTTCTTTTCAGGGAAGGGTTCAAGGCCACGTTTTCTAAGGACAAAGATCCATTTCTTGGCGATGTCAGTAAATCCCCACAGAGACTAAACCCTAGGAAAGAAGGAAATGGCCAAACTACAATAAAACCAATCAGAAGCAGTCAAAGCCCAGTATCACCAGCCCTGATTTCCATTTCAGCAGCCTTGAACAGGGAATATTCATTAAAGACAAACCCTCATCCTCACTTTCTGCTGTGAGTTTCTCTGGCTCACTCATACTCAGTCTAATCCTTTCCCAAGGGAATTCCTCTTTCCCTTCCAAGTCTTTGCCTTCCTGCTGCTCTTTATGGTTGTGTTCTTTGCCTTCTTTCCTCTTCCTCCTCAGCTTCTCCTGAGCAGATTTTGACAAGGTCACTTTTATCTGCAAAAAAAAAATCAAGCAAAAGTTACCCCAGAACTGAATCCCCAGTTCCTGATGCTGGCCAAGGTCAGCATGGAAAATCAGGATTTTCTCTCATCTGACCCTTCTCTCTCCTGTGTTCATGAGACTTTTGTGCCTCAGGAAAACTCAGCAAATAAATTTAATCCAGTTAAATTTAAGTTAGCTTAACAAATTTAATCTATTTACTGATTTGATCCTGCCAAGGGTTCACATGTTCAAGGAAAATCAGAAAATTAAGACCTCTAAATCATTAAGTTTCAGTGTTCTTCAAATGTTATTGCAAAGGCTTGCAGAAAGAGTTCCATTTCAATGTTTTTTGACTTTGTATCACACTTCACTCAGATAAATCTTGCTCCATTCACATTTGCAAATAGTTTTTAACAGCACCACTCCTCAGAAACCAGATTATGGCCAAATATTCAGGAAGGCTTTTAAGAAAAACTTCTGATTGGAGCTGGATTAATTAATCCCTGGGGAAAACCAGACCTGATCCCACCCAGCCAATCCCTCCTTCCACATGTGCTTGTGCTGTGGGAGCCAGGGAGGGCATTCCCCAGCCCCACTCCTTCCTGCAGCCCCTCTCCAGGGACCCGAGCATGGTGGGAAGCTCCTGGCACATCCATCTGCCATCCAGGTGGCACCAAAAGAAGATCAGGAGCAGCAGCTCGAAGGCTTTGGCTGTTGCAGTCAAACTGCTGCTGTCCCAGCAGAGACTGTGAGTGAGCAGGGCTGGCTCCTCCCCACACCCCCAGGTGAGAAGGCACCAGGCTGGGCAGTTCTTACCTCTCCTTCCTTCCCTGCATGGGAACAGGAATGGGAAGGGCTGTTCTGCTGGAAGCTTCTCCCTGGGGCTGCCTCTGCTCCCTCCCTGGCACCCTGGGCATCCCCATTGGGCACACAGGGCACGGACTGGCTGGCAGCTGGGGCAGGAGGGCTCCCAAAAACACCTGGAGGGCAGAACACGGGGTTACAGGCTGCTCTGGGATGGAAGGGACACCAAACCAGCTCGTTCCAGACCGGAATTGTCCATCCAGGAACTGCAACACTTTCAAACATAATTCTTTGTGCTCCCATTGAACTGGGGATTGTGAACGACCCAAAACACTGTACAGATCTTTCTGTTCTTTTCCCACTCTCCAAAGGCACATTTCCTGTCATTTCATAACTCAGAGAGACACGGGGGGTGATTTTGGGTCTGTAGTACCTTTGCCAACAACAGCAGCGTCTTCAGCTGTGAAACCCAGATCATCCTTTGGTGCAAAACCAGGCACTGACTCTGCAGGGCCTGAGAGCACGGAGAGCACTCACTGTCCCTTGTGTTGGTTATGCTTTGGGACGTGGTTCATCCTCCTAAAATGCCACCCCACATCTGAACTGATCCTTTTCCTGAACCAGGGCATTGTCAGGCTCTGAAGCCAGCAGGACCTGTTGAACACCCATATGAAGGATGTTCACATCCACTGACAGGAGCCTGGAGCCAGGCTGGGAGAGCTGGGAATGTTCCCTGGAGAGGAGAAGGCTCCAGGGAGAGCTCAGAGCCCTTGGCAGGGCCTGGAGGGGCTCCAGGAGAGCTGGAGAGGGACAGGACATGGAGAAAGCCTGTGGACACAGCTCCCTCAGCTCCTTTCCTCCACCCAGCAGAACCAGAACTGATTAAAGACAATCCCCCACAGTTCAGGGCCCTGGGAGGGTGAAACACTCCAGCAGCACTTCACCTCAATTCCCACAGGAAATGAGCTGCTGGCAACTGGAACTCCTCACGTGAGCAGCCTGAAACCCCAGTGTGGCCCCAGAGCAGCTGCAAGCTCCCTCTGTTAAGAGCTGAGGGATGGGGGCTCATTCTGGCCCCTCAGGTGAGTACTGGCAGGAACATACCTGTGCTGGGGGGATGCTCTGCCCCCTCTGTGTCTCTGGGCCTTGCTGGAGATGGCTTTGCAGGATGGGATTTGCTGCCAAGTGCAGGAAAAGTGTCTGACCTGTTCAGATAAACACATTTTATAGGTGCAATTCTCCACAAAGGTCAAAGCCCAGCCAGAAACAACAACAGATTTCAGCTTCTCCATGGCAAAACTATCTCCAGTGTTCCCACAAATGTTCACACTGAGCAGAAAGAGAATTCAGTGGGAATTATTTGATGAGCAGGTCCATTATGAAGAACCCTAAAGCAAACCCTTATGAGGAAACCTGACACTAGGGCTACATTTAGGATACAGCCATAAAGTAAGGAATTGTTTGGCCTGGGGACTGATGATGCTGGCTCCAACCTGGCCAAGGAGAGTGACCAAATCCTCCTGCCACAGCAGGGATGAGCTGCTCAGTGGCCAGCAGAGACATTCTCCAGGAAAGTGCTCTTATCTACTGGAATAGTTTAAATTCTTTTAAATTTCACATGGTTCTCTGGATAAGAAAGACAATGGAACCCAGAGCCTGTGCAACACCCACAACTGTGACTCTCTGGAGCTCCAAGGGAAGGCCCATGCTCCAGGAATGTCCCTGATTCCTGTATCCCATCAGCCATGGCCCTTTATCAGCAGACAAACCAAACCCTTCCCAAAGCAAGCACCCCAAAAACCCCCACTCCTGGTGCCCAGGCACAGATTGTGGGAACTGACAATGCCAGCTTGTGCCAGCGCTCACAAACCCCCTGAGCCCAACTCCCTGGCATTCTTGTGAGCATTCCAAGGCTTTCAGTGGCACCTGGGAGGGACTCTGTCACTTCTCCCAGGTCAGGGTGACTGCCAGGTGTCCCCTGTCCTCCTGGCTGGCTCACAACTGCTGTGGCTGAGGATGGAGTACCAAAAACTGGATAATGGACGTGGCTCAGCCCAAACCAGCACACCCAGGGCTCCACCTGACTTCTGAGGCATTACACATTTGAATGTGGCATTTTAAAGATTCTTTTTAAAAATGTGATTCAGCAGTGATGCACACGGGGAAGGGATGTGAATAGAAATTAGTTCTGGGCTGCACCACTGAAAACCTTCTGTTTGTGAATCACTGCAGGCTCCTTCTGCCTCAAACCCCTGTGCTTTTTATGCTCCCCCTTTTGCTTTCTGTTGTGAATGCAGTTCAATGTCAGCTACATGGAAGGTTCCCTGCTCATGGCAGGGCTGGAATTAGGTGATTTTTCAGGTCCCTTCCAACCCAAACCACTCTGGGAGTCTATAAAAGATGCTTTTAGCACACACAAAAATATCTTCAGAACAGAGCTACAAAGAGCTTCATCATGGACTCTGAGAGCAGAGGAGGAAATTTTTGGACTGGAAAATTTGCAGAATGCCTCAGAACTCTTTTTATTCCATTAAACAGTAGTTTATACTGCTCATAACCAACTGGGTTATTGCACTTTACAATCAGAGCACCCAATTTCTACTTAGAAGTGCTCTGGGAAGGCATTTTAAATTCACAATTATCTCTCAGGAATAAATGGAACCAGCTCTTGATCCACAATAAGAAACATCTGTATTGTCTTCCTCTCAACAAACCCAATTCAACTTCCAGGCTGTAATAACCCAACCTTATCCTTCCTCTTCCCTCCTGTCCTTCTCACTCCTCTGTCCACCTCTGGCCATGTTCCTGCAGTGCCAGGGAACATCTTTATCAGACATTTACTGCCCCTGGCCTACTGCAGCTTCACGCTGGAAGCCAGAAAAAAACAGAAAAACGTCATTAAGCAGCTCTTGCTGTTTTAGAGAGGAACATAATCCACACAGAAAAACCAGGCTACTAAGCAAGGCAATCCTATATAAACACGTAGCAGTTAATGGTCCCCAGGCTGAGGGGACACCAAGTGACACTCACATCACCCTCCTCCCGGGGGGCAGCGCGGCCACGGGGGAGCCCAGGGACTCCTGGCTGGAAATTCCACTCTCTCCGCCCAGGCTATTAAGCAAGGCAATGCTATATAAATATATATTTAGCAGTTAATGGTCCCCAGGCTGAGGGGAAACCAAGTGACACTCACATCACCCTCCTCCCGGGGGGCAGCGCGGCCACGGGGGAGCCCAGGGACTCCTGGCTGGAAATTCCACTCTCTCCGGAGCCGGGAGAGGAGCCCAGGGAGGGGCAGTCCCCGGGAAATTCCAGTTTCACGGCGGAGTCGGGGCTCTCCAGCTCCGCCATGCTGCTGCTCAGCTTCGCCCTCTTCTTGGCGGCGCTGCTCCGCAGGGACCTCAGGGAATTCTGCATCTGGATGAGGGGAACGACAGGGGCACTCACTGCACAGGGAAAAGGATTTCAGAGAAATAAAAGTGACCTCAGGGAATTCTGCATCTGGATAGGGGGCAATGACAGGGGCACTCACTGCACAGGGAAAAGGATTTCAGAGAAATAAAAGTGACCTCAGGGAATTCTGCATCTGGATAGGGGGCAATGACAGGGGCACTCACTGCACAGGGAAAAGGATTTCAGAGAAATAAAAGTGACCTCAGGGAATTCTGCATCTGGATAGGGGGCAATGACAGGGGCACTCACTGCACAGGGAAAAGGTTTTCAGATAAATAAAAATGACTTCAGGGAATTCTGCATCTGCACAGCAGGGAAAAATGACACTGGGGACTCACTGCACAGGGAAAATGTTTTTTCTGATAAACAAAAATGACCTCAGGGAATTCTGCATCTGCATAGCAGGGAAAAATGACAGGGGGCACTCACTGCAGAAGGAAAAGGATTTCAGAGAAACAAAAATGACCTCAGGGAATTCTGCATCTGGATAGGGGGGAATGACAGGGGCACTCACTGCACAGGGAAAAGGATTTTCATATAAATAAAAATCACCTCAGGGAATTCTGCATCTGGATAGGGGGGAATGACAGGGGCACTCACTGCACAGGGAAAAGGTTTTTTCAGCTAAATGAAGTCTGTTTCTGAGAGTTCAGCCCAGTCCATGGGGTGCTGAAGGCCCTGCTGGGCAGTGTGAGCACCACTCACACGGTTTTTTGGGGATTATAATGATCCCTCTCCTGGTTTCACACGGAGTCACTGGGTTGGAAGAGACCTACCAGTGATTCTGTGAATTCTTTGTGAAACCCAGAGAGGGGTAATGTGTCAGGGACACAGAATTCAGAGTCACCAGGCTGGAAAAGACCTACAAGCTCATCGAGTCCAACCCAGCCCCAACACCTCAACTCAACCCTGGCACCCAGTGCCACACCCAGGCTGTTTTTAAATACATCCAGAGATGGTTTAACACCACCTCCCTGGGCAGGCAATTCCACTACTGTTCCACTTTTTCCATAAAGAACTTTTTGCTAATATCCAGCCTAAATTTCCCTTGGTGCAGCTAAGGCTGTGTCCTCTGGTGCTGTCAGTGCTGCCTGTTTTATCTCAGGAGAACAATCATCCTGTGAGCAAGCACAGCCTCACAGCAGTGCTGTGTAGGAATGCGCCCCTTAATGACAGAGTGGCAAAAGGGCTTATGAGAACTGGCTCTAGGACAAACAACTTAATAGTGCTGCAGCCCAGCTTCCCCTGCAGAGCACAGGGACAGGCTCCTGCTGGAGCACACCAACTGCTCCGTGCCTTTCAGTGGGTTAAGGAGGGGTTTGATGGCTGCCAGCACACCTCAGGCTTTTCCCAGCAAATCTGCACTTCCTAAAAACAGAACAGTGGAACAGCTTGGAAAGGACCTTAAGGATCATCCCATCCCACCCCTGCTGTGGCAGGGACACCTCCCACTGTCCCAGGGTGTCCCAGTGTCCAACCTGGCCTTGGGCACTGCCAGGGATCCAGGGGCAGCCACAGCTGCTCTGGGAATTCATCCCAGACCCTCCCAGCCAGGAATTCCTTCCCAATATCCCACCTAAACCTCCTCTAAATCATGCAATCAGTGCCCAGCAAGCAGAGATCCTACTCAAATGAGCAGGAAAATCCGTAATTTTTAGAGTTTAATGCTGCAGCGTTCTGCCCTCTTTTTGCTGAGTATTTTTCATGTTAGCAATTCCTCCTCTGTTTAACACCTCAGGTTCCTTTCAGTGGCAACCAGAGCACGGAAGGTACAAAGAGAAAGGCAAAGCCAGCAAGTCACAGAATCCCAGACTGGCTTGGGATGGAAGGAACCCTGAAGCTCACCTCGTCCCACAGGCAGGGACACCTCCCACCAGCCCGGGCTGCTCCAAGCCCGGAACGCTTCCAGGGATGACGGGCAACACCGACCAAAACACATTTATCCCATTCCACCCACCTCTTCTTGGTCCACCTCCTCGGGCTCCAGGTGCAGCTCTGCCAGCCCTGCTGCCAGCTCCGTGCCCTCCCTGCTGCCAGGGGGATCCCGGGGGCTGGGCAGGCGCGGGATGGGGGGCACGGGCCGGGCCCCCCGCAGCCCCAGGGCAGCCCTCAGCTGCAGGGGGGGCTTCTCCAGCTGCAGGGAATGCTTCTCCAGCGGGCTGTCCCCTGGAACACACAGGGGACTGTCAGGGACAGCGCCAGGACAAAGTTCACCTCTCACTTCTGCGCCTGTAAAAGTCTTTCTGCCCCACGGAATGAGTGTTAAAAACACACTTGTGCAGGCTCAGGTATCAGTTTATTCCACTTGCAGTGTCTCCTGCCTTTAGGAAAATATAAATGAGTGTTTCATGCATGTGCACACCAACATGGAATCAAAATATCCTCAGCTGGAAGGGACACACAAGGATCACCAAAGTCCAAGCACGTGCCCTTAGTCCCTTTAAAAAGTAATTAACTTTTTTCATTAAGAGAAAAACACTCATCCACAAACTTCCATGGAAGGTGCTATAACAACAAAAGTACTCCAAAGAACCAGAGAAAAATCAAAATGCAAATGGAAAACATGTGGTAAGTGATAAATACAATAACAAATAATAAATACAATAATAAAGCAAGCAATAAATACATCTACAAGGCAGAGTCCCATTCCAGGGGCAGGAAATTCCCAAAGCATTCAGTTGGAAATTTTGTATATATGCACAAAAAGATGGGTCTCGGTGAAGATGAAATTTCAAACAGATTTCTTTAATCAGTGCAAAATTTTGTGTGGAAACTGTTACTTTGTCTCAGAAACCTCCTGAGTGATTAGGAAGCAGTTCAACCTAAGCAGAGAGTAAAGGTATTTTTACCCAGGGGGTTGGAACTGGATGAGTTTTAAGATCTCTTCCAACCCAGACCATTCTGGGATTCCATGATTCAAATGAAGAGGCAAAAAGGCAAAATGCACTGAGTAACCCTTCTCTTGCACTTGGATTAATGAGGGTTTGAACAGCAACAGGTATTTCTGCACAGACTTTCCCTAAAAGTGCTCCATTTTGGGGTTTGTTTGAGTTGGAAGACAGCCCTTGCCTGAGACATTAAGAAAAGCAGAGCTGCAGATATTTTGCTTTATGACAAATCCAAAGGCTCCACTTGTGAAGAGAAGCCTGCAGGGATGTGAGCAGTGAAACCCTAAATGAATAAGTAAATAAACCAATAAATCCCTCCCATTCCTAACTGCACCTGAGGCACTGCCCAATTCCCTCTCACCTGCCACTGTGGATTTTCTGACCACTGAAAGGTCCCTCAAAATACAACCCCCAAATCCCTTTTTATCCCATTGAGACCATTCCCACCTGTGTTGTCTCCTGGCTTTTGGCTGAGCAGCTGCTTCTGGCAACCAGGCTTAGGCAGCCCCTGGAAGCTTTTGAGAGGCCAGGAGCTGGAGAGGCTCCTGGGATCCTCCTGGCACTTCCCTGCAGAGGCAGCAGGAGCAGAGAGGTGCTTGGGGCTGTTCCTGGGGGATGACAGGGGGAAGGAGGGCAGGATGAAGGTGCCCTGGCTGGCACTGGGACCTTGGAAGGACATGGTGGGCTCTGCCTGAGTGCAAAAACTTCTTTGGGTCTTGCTGGAAAAGCTGAGGCTGGAACAAACTGAGCAAAGGAAAAGAGAACAGTGCTTGTGGTAACTGGGTCTTGTAATAAGAATTTACCATTAAATAATATACCAGAAGAATGATTTCCAGTGAAATAATGCACCATAAAAATAATTTCCAATGAAACAATCTATCATTATTTATCATTATTATTTCATATTATTATTTCCAATGAAATAATCTATCATGAGAAATTATTAATTTCCCAGGAAATAATGCACCACTAGGCATTATTTGCATTATTTGCAGCTTCATTCTGCAAACTGCATTCCCCTCCACACGTGAGTTTAAGCCTTAAAACGATTTCTCAGGCATGTTTTGGAGAGCTGCACTTAAAACACAGAGTGATGCAAGTGGATCCAACACTGCTGTGATCCTCCCACAGCAGCTCCTTTTCTCTAACACCCTGACACAGTCAGAGATCAAAGGTGGGGCTGTGAATTAACAGCCACTAATTAACTCTCGCAGGAAGGAGGAGCCGTCCTGACCAACCTTTCAGTAACAGATTCCATTTCTTGGGGAAGCAAAGGAACAAAGAGACAACTCCAAAGCGACATGCCCTGCCTTAGGCCACTGGAGAAGCCACCTACCTTTGTCCTGCTGCCAGTTATTCAGTCCCAAAAACTGCAAATCAGAGCCCACGCTGCCACTCCTCCCACGTGGGTATCCAAGTGTGCCACATTTCCCTGAAATCTGGGGCTGATGAGAGCCCAGAGCACCTTGCAAAAAAAGAACACAAAGAACCAAATCAATATCCACACGTGGTGTCCAACAGAGAATATCCAATAATATTTCACGTGGAATGCAGACTCTGTGTAGCTCTGAGTGGGAAACTCACACTCCAAGTACCTCATTCCAGAGTCTCTAAGCAACCTCAAAAAGCAGCTCAGAGAGAAAAAGGGAAAAGGACTGGCTGCTCTTCCAGGGCACTGCTCCAGCTGGGAATTGCAGGGGGGCAAAAGAACCCCCTGGAACAATCCCCTCTTTGAGTGTGTGACAGTGAGGGGCAGCAAACACCTTAAAACCCAAGGGAGCAAACTTGGCAAGGCCAGGACTCCCCAGAGGGGACAAGGACAGAGCCCAGGGCCACAATCCCTCAGGTCTGGTCTTGCCCAGGCTTTGCAGACCCTTCTGGCAGCTGGAATGTGCCAGACAACAAGAGGCCAATCTCTGGGAATCACTCCAAGAGAAGCAAGTCCAGCTTGCAAATGCCCCATGTCCTCTGTGATTTCACTGATCTTCTCCAGCTCATGGAGTCATCTCTAGGAATCAGAAGTCTTCTTTGAATGACAAAAGCTGGGGAATTCTAGGGACTCTTCATAGGTTTAATGTGGCCTTTTTGTAGTTGTTCACTTACTAATTTTTTCAGAGCATTCAATTTTTTCAAGAGGCCACTGATCAATCCAAACTGGCTGACTGGTTTTCTTCTTCAGAGCGGGAGGAGTTGTGGCTTCCACCAAAAACCCACTTCTACCTTTGCTCCCCACTGGGACAACACGTCTCCTTCCCCCATGCTGTGATGGGTTTCTTCTCTACAAATTCATTTCCCACACTGGAACACTAAAACCTCGGCAGCTGCAGCACGTCCACTCACCAGCACTGAGGGCAGAGTGCTCAGAGGTGAGCTCCACAGAGGGCTGGAATGAAGTCCTGGAAGCTCTGCTCCTGCTGAAAAGCAGCTCATCACTGCCTGGGATCCCCTGCGAGGGCCGCAGGGAGTGCAGGGAATCGTTGGCTGCAGCCAGCTGGAGGGGAAAACAGCAAAACAAACTGTGGGAAATGAAAGCACAGCCCTGCTCTGGGCAAACAGCACAGCTACCAACATTTCCAACAAGCTTTGCTTTCCCACCTACCCAACATTCACGTCTTATAAGCATTGAGAAGTATTTTAGCTGTTTTGCAGGTCTTACTAAAATACAGGTTCAAACTACTCACACTGAAAGGGAAATAAAACCCCAGCAAAATACAATGACAAAGAACTGAACTATCTTAAAAATTAAATTTTAAAAATCAAACATTGGCCATTTGAATTATGTGGTTTAGATGGGGAGGTGTTTAAATAGACAACAGAGCCCCAAAATCCCAGAATGGAACAAGCACACACTCCAGATCTTTGCAAACCACATACTTCAGTCAAAAACTGCACCTGGCAACACCAGCAGCTTTTACTGGCTACAGGTAGGGAGAAAATCTCAATAATGTCAATATTTAACAAAGAAAAGGTCATGCTTTAAATAGATTCTGATTTAATTAGCAAAATCAGTGATTTACATCATTCCCAAGCTGTATTTACTTTCCTCTCCCTTCTGAGGGACACAAGAGGAACAGAAGAGCAGGAAAATGCTGAAGTGGTTTATTCCAGGTTATTACAAGTTGGGATAAAAGATGTGAGACCTTGGCATTCCCAAGGCAATCACCAAACATCATTCCATCAGTCCTTCAGTCCATACTGAAACACTCCTTGTACAAACCACCCCAGCCTGGTTTCAGCTGGGAGAGAGGGAATTTTCTGCTCAGGAGCAGTACAGGATAAACTTCCATCCCATTTTCCCACACAGACAAAGCCACATATGCAGAAGGAGTAAATTCCAACACTGCCATGACTGTACAGCTTCTCTCAGCTGTTCCCATCCCAGCTCCAGGAGTGAAAACTCTGCTTCCCTGTACCCAAATTATAATTACAGCATTGCAAATTCACTGAACACAGGCTTGGAGGAGGTGGGAAATACAGCAAACCCACAGCTGCCAGATGCTTCCCTGGGATAACAAATCCTAGCAAAGGGATTTCTCAAAAGGGTTCAGATTCCTTTAAATTCCACACATGTTGGAAAATACCTGAATCCATCCACCACAGGAATTGGTAACTTGGTTATCAAAGCACAGCCCTTGAGAGTGACCCAGGATGGAATCCTGGAATGGTTTGGGTGGAAAGGGATCTTAAATCCCATCCCATCCCATCCCATCCCATCCACTGGCCCAGGCTGCTCCAAGCCCCAGTGTCCAAGCTGGAATCACAGCAAACATTCCCTCCCTGCATCCCTTCCCTGTGGAGCTGTGCCACCACGGTGCTCCTAATCCAACACCAGCAGCATCAGCAGTGTTGTCCCAGAAAGAGACCAACACCACACAAAGACACAACAACATCTCCCCAAAATCCTCTCCCAGCTCCAGAAAAAGCAGGCCTCAGGTCCCAGGAGGACACCCAAGGAAGGGACACCTTTATCCCACACACTGCTCAGCCTCTGTGCCCCTCTGAGCCTTGGAAAACAAAGAGGTTTTGTTCCATAAATCAGATTTCCCTTTCCCAGGTCATTTGAACACTCCACAAAGCTATCAGTTTCTCCAGTTATCACATCAGTATGGAAATGAGAAGATTTCCACACAAAGTAGGGGGAGATCCCAGAGTTCACATGAACTTTGTGAAAGGCCTTGGATGCCCAGTGAAATGTTCAAATGCTCCTCTTTCCCCCAAAAGCACCCTCTGGGCACCCAAAGGTACCTTCAGCAGCAGGGAGGGGCCTGCAGGCTCTGTGTGTCCCTGGGTCTGCTCTCACCCTGCAATATTCCACATTCCAACCTGCCCTTGAACACCTGAGCAGCTCCAGGGATGGAGAACCCTCAGCTCTGCAGAGGCTGCCAGACAAACCCCTGAGGTCCATGTGCCTTATCTACCTTCCCTTTTTAGTACACATTAACTTACACATGTTTTACTCACACCTTATCTGATCAGGAAAGTCTAGACACAGCCTTGGACAGCCACCCTGAAACATGACCCTAAAAATACTGGCAGGGAAACAGCTTTAAACATTAAGCTACTTCCATGCATCCTTTCAGCCACAGAATGACTCCAAAAGTTAATTTTTAAGCAAATTCATTTCAAAGGAATGTCTGAATTAATAATTAGTATGTGACATGTCCAAAAACCAGTCGACTGCCTGAGATTTATGCATGATAAATGCATTTTCCTTTCTGGGGGAACTAGGGGCAGCTGATTGCTGGAGGGGCCAGGGACAGGAGCTTGACACACAGCCCCTGGAATGTCTTCAGCCCAGGGAACACCAGCCAGGTTTGCATTCCCAGACTGAAAACACAATTCACCTCCCTGCACCCACGACAGATCCATGGAATGTCCTGAGCTGGAGGGACCCACAGGGATCATCCCAGACCCCCAGCAACCCCACCCTGGGCATCCCTGGCAGCTCCTGCAGCTCTGGCAGCCTCGTGGCTGTGCCCATTCCCTGTGGAGCCCGGGCAGTGCCAGCCCCCTCTGGGGAAGAGCCTTTCCTCATCTCCAGCCTGCCCTGGCCCAGCTCCAGCTGCTCCCTCTGGTCACCAGCATCACAGCACAGTGTCCCCTGCCCCAGAGAGCTTCAGTCAGATGTGATGAGACAAAGGATCAGGATGTGAAGAAGGAGCAGCAAAGGTGTCAACTACAGCAGCCAGGTAAATACTCCACCATTAAACCTCCCCAGTGTTTTCAGTTTCCTTTACAGTAACCGGGCCTGGACTCCAATTCATCCTGTGCCCAATCGGGCTCCCACTGCCAGAGGGCAGGGATGGGTGGGAGATTGGGAATTGCTGGCTGGGCTGGAATTGCCAGAGCAGCTGTGGCTGCCCCTGGATCCCTGGCAGTGCCCAAGGCCAGGCTGGACACTGGGACACCCTGGGACAGTGGGAGGTGTCCCTGCCATGGCAGGGGTGGCTCTGGTGGGATCTGAGGTCCCTTCCCACCCAAACCATTCCAGGAACTGGTGCTTTACCCCTTCTCCAAAGACATTTTACACAGCTTCAAACCAAACAGAACCCATAAGCTCCTTGCTTTCTCTCCCTCTCTGCAGGGCTGGCATCCCCTCCCACGTTACAGGGATAAACACAACCACACGTACAGAGGGTTCATTCCTCTCAGAAAAGGACCAGACACAGAGCCCCTCCCTGACTTCCCTGGAGAGGGGCTGTCCCAGGCAGGGAATGTTCCTCCTTTCCAAGCCCCAGCCCGGTGTTGGTGCCTGTATTAACTTGCTTTTTGTTCACAGCTGCAGGAAACCAGCAGGGCTTGGCCCAGCCTCCCAGCAGAACACTGGCACTGGTTTTTGTGGGGTTTTTTTAAAAGCTGTATTAATTAACACTGAAAAACTGTTCCAAAAAGGAAACCCTTATTGTTCCAGAGGTGTTTCCTACACATCTTGCTGCAGACATCCCAAGGGAACTGATTCAGCAGCTCAGGATGTCTTTAGGAGCCTGGGGAGAGGTAACACAGGCACCAAGGAAAGAGATGAGCATTCAAGTCTAGGCATGACCTCCAGGTTTGACAGTACAGAAACATGAACTGAGTTTATTTGGTTAAGAGCCTGCCCCAGGGCCAGGCTGCAGAGGAGCACTCACTGTCCATGACCTCATCCAGCCCAGCAACAAGTTACCAAGCAACTGAGAATTAAAATCTGAGTACGCAAATGTGGCACTGAGGAATCTGCTCTGCACAGCCTCTCATTTCCTGAGGAGCTCTGCTTGCTTCAGCTCCCTCACAGGAGATGAGGTTATGGTAAATCAAATGTGTCCACTTTAAAAAAAAAACAAACCATAACACAACAGAAAAACCACCTCACAGAGATACAACCACCTGTGGGATCCAAAACGCCGGCAAAGCAAAAAGAACCTGGACAGTTTTCCAGAGGTTCCTCCCCTTTCCAGCTGCCGACGTGGTCAGTAGGTGATTACACCCAAACTCAGCCAGAATCCTTATTCCAGCCTGACCTACATTTTTGCTGGTTGGATCAGCCCAAAGAGCAAGAGCCACACAGGCACTTGGCAGCCAGCAGGTTTATCCCAAAGAGCCCTGGCTCGGCCCCATCCCGCAGCTCTGCCTTCAGAGCCTGAGCTGAAGGACTTGCTCAGTTTTCCCCCCAACAGGAAACTCTGCAGTCAGCCCCACACCTTCGAACACAAACATACAAATAAAGGCTGTTTTCCCCAGTTTTGCTCATTCCCAGTGCTTCACCTGCCATTGCTGACATGTCAGAGTCAAGTCACTACTGTCAGACCTAAGGAGTGTCTCAGGTCGTCCAGCTAACCTCATAAAAAGATTCATATTTTTTGTTGTAAGCGATAAATAGTCTGGTAAATTGCTTGGCTGAATCTGGCATAAGGAATTCCCAAATTTACCTTCCCAGAGCGATCTGAGCGTACAGACCCATCAAACAGCAGCCACACCTCCCAAACATCACTTAACAAGCCCCTGACACCTCCCCATCCTCCCTTTGGGAAGCACAGAGGCACCCAGGGAGCTCCATACCTGCTCCACACCCTTCGCCGCGGGCATCCTCACCCCCGAGCCGCCTTCCCCGTCCGCAGCCGGCTCCTTCTCCCAGGGCAGCTTGCTTTTGCCTCTGCCGGCGCTCAGGACCCTCCTGGGGCTCGCTCCCCGCTGGGCATCGCCGGGGTGCGCGCAGAGCCCGTGCGCGCTCCGGCTCCCGCTGCCCATCAGCAGCCACTCGGTGTCGGCGCCGGGCGGCGGGCAGGGCCCGCGGCAGCGGCCGGACGAGGGCAAGGGCACGCCGTACTCCACGAGCCCCTGCTCGCCCAGCCGGGGCAGCACCTTCCTGGCCAGGCGGGCCCGCACGGCCTGCGCCCCCCCCGCGCCGCCGGCCCGCCGCTCCACCGCGTCCAGGGCGCGGAGCAGCGCGCCCGCGTCGCCGGGACCCAGGGCCGAGGCCAGCGCGGCGAACGCCTCCATGGCGGCGTGCCGGACCCTGCGCTTGGCGTCCAGCAGCGCCGGCGCCAGGGCGGCCGCCAGCTGGGGCAGGTCCAGCTCGGCGGCGGGGTAGGCGAGCAGCGCGGCGATGCACGCGTTGAGCAGCTCCTCGCGGAGCCGGGCGCTGCGGTGCCGCAGCAGCCGCTCCTGCAGCAGCAGGCGCAGCACGGGCCGCGGGCCGGCCGCCGCCATCAGCCGCAGCAGCAGCCGGGCGCCGTCCCGCCGCATGGCCGGCTGCGCGTCGCCGAGCGCCCGGGCGGCCGCGCACACCAGCGGGGCCAGCACGGCGGGGACGCGGCGGCCGAGGCGCAGCGCCAGCAGCCGGGTCACCTCCAGCGCGCCCCGCGCCACCGCGAAGTTGGGGTCGTGCAGCAGCGCGTCCAGCAGCGCGATCAGCCCCAGCAGGGCGGCGGCGGGCGCGGCGCCCAGCGCGGCGGGGCTGCAGCCCTCCACCGCCCGCCGCAGCTGCTCCACGGCCTGCGCGCGGCCCCGGTAGTCCCGCCGGTCCAGCAGCCGCGCGCGGAGCTCCGGCGGCACCAGCGACAGCTCCGGCCCCGGCGGGGCAGCCGCGTCCTCCGGCGGGCTGTGGGGCTCCGTGCCCGGCCGGTCCTCAGCGGGGCCGCGGAGCTCCATGCCCGGCTTGTCCTCAGCGGGGCCGCGGAGCTCCGTGTCTTCCTCCGTGCCCGAGCCGTTGTGAGCATGGCCGGGCGGCTCCGTGCCCGGCCCGTCCTCAGCGGGACCGGGGGGCTCCGTGTCCGAACCGTCGTGAGTGGGGCCGGGAACATCCGCGCCCGAACCGTTCAAAGCGGGGCCAGGGGGCTCCGTGTCCGAACCGTTGTGAGCGGGGCCGCAGGGCGCCGTGCCCGGACCGTTGTGAGCGGGGCCGGAGGGCTCCGTGCCGTCCTCGCCGCCCTGCGCGGAGCCGCCGCGCTCCCAGGCCCGGCCGCGGCCCCGCGGACCCAGCAACGCCGCCGTCGCCAGGGGGCGTCGCGTGCCGCGCCGGCGCGGGGCCGACCACGCCGCGGCGAGCGGGGGGGGGGACACGCGTACCTCCGCTACTTCTCCTCAGACCGCTGCGGGCGGGACGGGGCACGGGCGCTGTGGCGGAGAAACGGAGAGCAGCGTCGCGCGAGCGGCGGGGATGGAGTGAAGCAGAACCTCCGGGGAAGCGAAACCGCGGCGTGCCCCCCGCGCGGTGCGCTGTGTGGTACCGCCCGGGGACAGGCGGGTGTGGGTGTGTGCGGCGGCGCGGCCGTTGATTGGCGGGGCGCGCGGGGCGGGGCGGCCGGAAGTGACGGAGCGGGCGGTGGCGGAGCGGCGGAACGAGGCGGCGGCGCGGCCGGGCCGGGCCTGGGGCACCCCGGCACAGGTGAGAGCGGGGACGGCGCGGCACGGCCGGGACACGGGACACGGCCGGGACACGGCCCGGACACGGCCGGGACACGGCCGCGGTGCTGTGTCCCCGGGCGGGGTGCGGATGCAGCGGGAGCGGCTGCGCGGGGGGCCCGCCCGGCACCGGGAGAGCGGCGGAGCCGCAGGGACCCGGAGCGCTGTGGGACCCTGGGCAGGGACACCGGGAGCCCAGCGTGCTCCGGGAGCCGGCCCTGTGCCCGGCCAGAGCGGAGCCGGGGCAGCGGGTGAGGCACGGCCATGGGGAGAGCAGCGATTCCTGCAGAGGGAGGGCAGCAGTGCCAGCAGCGGGAGAGCAGCAATTCCAGCAGTGGGGCAGCAGCAATTCCAGCAGGGCAGCAGCAGTAATTCCAGAAGTGGGAGAGCAGCGATTCCTGCAGAGGGAGGGCAGCAGTGCCAGCAGCGGGAGAGCAGCAATTCCAGCAGTGGGGCAGCAGCAATTCCAGAACTGAGAAAGCAGCAGCTCCAGAAGTGGGAGAGCAGCGATTCCAGCAGCGGGGCAGCAGCAATGGCAGAAGTGGGAGAGCAGCAATCCCAGGAGCGAGGCAGCAGCAGGGCAGCAGCAATGCCAGCAGCGGGGCAGCAGCAGCAATGCCAGCTGCAGTGCCAGCAGCGGGGCAGCAGCAGCAGCAGGGCAGCAGCAGTAATTCCAGAAGCGGGGCAGCAGCAGCAATTCCAGAAGCCGGGCAGCAGCAATGCCAGCTGCAATGCCAGCAGCAGTGCCAGCTGCAGTGCCAGCAGTGGGGCAGCAGGGCAGCAGCATTAATTCCAGAAGCCAGGCAGCAGCAGCAGCAGCAGTGGGGCAGCAGCAATGCCAGCAGTGGGGCAGCAGCAGCAATTGCAGAAGCCGGGCAGCAGCAGTAATTCCAGAAGCTGGGCAGCAGCAGCAGGGCAGCAGCGGGGCAGCAGCAGCAGTCCCAGCAGTGCCAGCAGCAGCAATTCCAGAAGCCGGGCAGCAGCAGCAGTGCCAGCAGTGGGGCAGCAGCAGCAATTCCAGCAGCAGGGCAGCAGCAGCAGGGCAGCAGCAGCAATTCCAGAAGCCGGGCAGCAGCAGCAGTGCCAGCAGCGGGGCAGCAGCAGCAGTGGGGCAGCAGCAGCAGGGCAGCAGCAGTAATTCCAGAAGCGGGGCAGCAGCAGCAGGGCCAGCAGTGCCAGCAGCAGCAATTCCAGAAGCCGGGCAGCAGCAGTGGGGCAGCAGCAATTGCAGAAGCCGGGCAGCAGCAGTAGCAGTCCCAGCAGTGCCAGCAGCGGGCAGCCCGTGCCGCGTGTCTCTCCCCCGGTGCCGATGGCGCTCAGCCCCGCTCCTGCTGCTCTCCCGCAGTCTCGGAGCTCCCGTGCTGCTCCTCAGCTGTTCCCCTGAGGTTAACCCCTTTGTTTCCAGTCCCTGCTGCGGCTGGAGATGAGTCTGAGGCACAGGCTGGGAGGCTCTGAGCCCAGGGGTGGCCGTTTGGTGTCCTGAGCACGGATCGCTGGGCTGGGATGCAATTCCAGGGCTGCTTCACGTTCCAGCTGCAGATTTCTTGCTAAAAAAGTGAAATGAATAACAGCAGATCCGTGGTGTGGGTGAGCCTGGCCATGCAGGGCAGGGAGAGGTTCTGCCAGCCTGGTACATGAAGCGGAGCCCGGGCGTGGCCGTTTGGTGTCCTGAGCACGGATCGCTGGGCTGGGATGCAATTCCAGGGCTGCTTCACGTTCCAGCTGCAGATTTCTTGCTAAAAAAGTGAAATGAATAACAGCAGATCCGTGGTGTGGGTGAGCCTGGCCATGCAGGGCAGGGAGAGGTTCTGCCAGCCTGGTACATGAAGCTTTATTGCTGCAGAATGCCTGAAATGTGGTTATTTATAGGTGTTTGGGCAGGTTTTGCAGCTGAACTGGGACCACTCCTTTTTCCACGTGGTGGTGCCTTGTGTTTCCTGATTTTTGTGTGTTTGTGTGATCAAACTAGGAACTGAACACAAACACAAAAGGGGAATCAATTCTTTTAGCTGCTTTTTTTATTGTTTTAAATTTTTTCATTCCTCCATGGATAATTTGTGCTGCAAAATTGTAATGGGAAAACACTGCCTCTTGCAGATGCAAACATTGTCTCTGATCTTGCCTTTTGCAGATGCACTTAAATTAGTTTATTTCGTTTATTTTTTCCAGTGAAGAGTGATAATAGGAGAGCTTATTTATCTCTTTGTGGGTAAGAGGTTTTTCAGCCCCTTCCCTTCCCCGTCACTGCTATTGTATTCTGTATTTAAATGCTGATTATTTCAAACTGAGCACTTTTAAGTGGGCTCACCTGCAAGTGAGGTGTCATTTAAGGAGCTGTGCAAGTGATGAACTTACAATGAAGACAAAAGAAGAGAGACCTTGCAGAGATCATTTGGCAAATCAAAATCTGCTCCGCTCAGGAGTGTGGGGGGTTGTTCCCAGGAGAACAATGGGATTCTCTCCCCGTGGCCCAGGATCCTGACACGTTCCTACCCTCCACCTCTCAGCAGCGCAGCGCTGGGGGCTGAGCAAAGAGCCTGGCAGTGCTCCTGGAGCTGCAATTAGAGCAGCTGCACTCCTGCAGCTCCTGGGGAGCGTGGCTGCTGGGAAGGGCTGAGCATTCCTGCTGCTCAGCCTGTCCCCCTGCTCACCTGGGAGCTCGGAGCGCTCCAGAGGCTGAGCCCATCCCAGCAGGGATCTCCTGGCATGGTGTCAGCCACGGGGTGAGGTGAGGTGAGGATCTCCCCTTTCTCCTGTGCTCCTCTGTGCATCCACAGCACAGGAATCTGCTGCAGCCCCTCTGTGGGGGTGGCTGGCAGAGGAAATGGGAATGGGGAGCTGCTCCCTGCCAGAGAAAAAGGCACAGCACGGCTGAACTGCTCCCCAGGCAGCTGAACAAAAGGAGTTTAGTGCAGGAATTGAACTGCACAAAAGGAGTTTAAGAACTTTTAAAACTTCCCCTGAAATAAGCCAGTTGCATTCTTTAGTTATGCGTGTTTATTTCTATTTCAGCCAGTGTGCAGTTCTCTCAAACCCTTGATGTAGAGTCACAGAGTATCCTGAGTGGGAGGGGATCCACAGGAATCACCAGGCCACCTCCTGTCCCTGCACAGGCACCCCAACAATGAGATCACAGATATTTTACTCCAGAAGAACAAAAAAGTGATGGTTGGGGGGTTTTTTTTAATTGAGAGTTGAATCTAGCATAGACTACTCATGAACATTTGAAGGTCCTGCGCTTAACTTGCAGGAAAAAGTGTAGCAGGTAAGGGTGGAAAAGGGAATTGGGAAGTAAGAAACCTTATTAAGCTAACAACCAAGATGGAACCACACCTTTTAACCTTTGTGTGTGCCAAACCATGAAGTGACAGCTCCCAAACTGTGTTTGTCCCAGATGGAGCCGTCGTCCCCGCCGTTCCTGCTGGCCAAGCTGACCCCGCTGCACTCGGAGCAGCTCCTGCAGGGCCTCAACCTGCTGCGGCAGCACCGGGAGCTGTGCGACGTGGTGCTGCGCGCCGGCGAGGCCAAGATCCACGCGCACAGGGCGGTGCTGGCCAGCATCAGCCCCTACTTCAAGGCCATGTTCACCGGGAACCTGTCGGAGAAGGAGAACGCCGAGGTGGAGTTCCAGTGCGTGGGCGAGGCGGCGCTGCGGGCCATCGTGGAGTACGCCTACACCGGCACCGTCTTCATCTCGCAGGACACCGTGGAGTCCCTGCTGCCCGCCGCCAACCTGCTGCAGGTCTGCTGCTCTGCTGCCCTTCGCTGAGGAAAGCAGGGGGGCAGGTCTGCCCGAGGGGTTTTTTTTGTTATTGATTCCATTATTGATTTTTTTTGTTATTGATTCACGTCCGCTGAGCCCCGCGGAAAGGGAGGACGCGGTTCTGATGGCTCGCCGGGCCTGCCTTGTGCCAAAGCGGAGTGCAGCGTGGAGGTTGTGTATCTGTGGTGGTGTTCAACAGGGGAAGAGATGAGAATCTTGACTCCATGTTTCAGAAGGCTGATTTTATTATATTAGAATAGGAGAAAAATCCTAGCAAAGGGTGTTTCATAAAGTATCATGGCTACATCCAGCCATCCCCAGCACTGCCACCATTCCCCCCTGTCCCCTCGAGTCCAGCTGTGGTTGGTGCCCCATGTGAAGAGATGAGAATCTTGACTCCATGTTTCAGAAGGCTGATTTTATTATATTATATATATATTATATTAAAATGCTATACTGAAACTATACTAAAAAGAATAGAAAAGGATGCATCAGAAGACTAGAAAGAAAAGGAATGGAATCAATAACAAAAGCTCGTGACTCTCAGAGTCCGACGCAGCTGCATCTTTGATTGGTTGTTAATTAGAAACAACTCACAGGAGCCAATCAAAGATGCACCTGTTGGGGAACAA